ATTTTTCACGGTAAATTAGTGAAGTAGGAACAAGCACATTTTGTAGTTTTAGCATGTCAATTAATCGTTTAACAGTTAAAATAATCACATTTTCTCTGTCGGTTATAAAAACACCGGTTTGAAGGTGCTTAGGCGCCATTTCCCACGGAGCAATCTCCGGAAGGAGAGATTTAGAATAATTTTGAAAGTAGTTTTGGTTTGGAATTTTTACGTAAGGACTGAGAAAGGATTTGCAAAAATTTAATTGGTTACGAGATAGATCTAAATAATTTTTAAAAGCTAGAATTTCGTCTAAACTTAGTTCGTTGTGTACTTCTTCTAAATCACCAGTTTCGTACAGGTGTTTGCCAAGCGTAGAAAGTTTTTTGTTTTGCTGGTGATTTCGCTGATAGAAAAGATAGCCGAGTACTTTATTAACACTTAAATTATTATCGTTCGCGAACTCGTCAAGTAATTCATTCAGATCTTCAAGTCTTCTCTTTTTTTGCTTGTTTCCTACTTCTGAAAAGTCTCTGGTGGTGCGTTTTGGTGGTGGTTTTGGACGGTGTTTTAGCTCAATTCTATTTAAAATTATCTTTTGAAATTCCGTTACTCGACGTCCACTATCCTTTTTGCGCCAGGATTCGAAAAGCAACTTATTTTTCACTGTATAATAATGAATTAAACTAGAAATTAAACTTTTATTTTCGTATGTAGACCGCAACGTAAGCTCTTTCCCGATGAAAAAGCTGAAATACTATTGTTGGCTATGCTGAAAAGGTCATTTTTAACAGCAATATGGCAAAAACGTGGGTGTTCGCAGTGTACATAACAATTGAGCAATAGACAGCTTTGTTCGCCGCACTTTTTGTTCGTCGCACTTTTTGTTCGTCGCACTTTGAACAATAGCTCCGCGAGCCCATGGGCTCGTGGAGCTATTGTTCAAAGTTGATCGATTTTCTGACAGATATGAGGTCCGAAGGGGAACCAGCGATGTAGAACCCCATAAAATATAATATACTTCAGTCAACTCGACTTTGACTTCAAACAAACAAAACAATTAAAGTAGAGATAAACTATCAATGCTATTATAGAAAAAGAAGTTCAGCAAAATATATTTATTGTTCCAGTGAAATCTGACAGCTAATATAATAAGTTATAGCGACGAATGGATAAAGTAAGTAAATATATTCACTAGCCATACAAAATCTTCAGTAGAAAACAAAAATATAATATTTTTTCAGAACAAACAACTATAAAGGTAAAAAATAAAGTACGGACAACCACTTCAAGCGAAATTCTTATCTGAAAAGTGTAAGCCAAAGTGAGTGAGATAGAGAACGTTTAAAAGTAAAGATATCTGAATGTTTAGTAGCTACCAAAAGAGATATCACCGATGTATTTTAATTGACATGTTGAGTACGATTCATATCTGACCACAAAAAAATTGAGAAAAACAAATGAAATTTGTCAAAAACTAAAAAAGTATCTATAGATACCGGAAACGTGTAAAATGAGTTTCACTTATCAAAGTACGACAGCGACGACGATCTTCAGCATTTTTGAATCCAACAACGACATATACAATGTTATTTTCGATTTTTGATTTTATATGAATAAATTTAATTCCACGACTCCGAAGTTCACGTCTAATTGCTGGCATTGGAAGATCTGGATGTCTAACATAAGAAACTGATCAATAGTAGCGTCGTTTCCTTCTTCTAATGTCCAGTTTTCAATTACGATAATATTTCCTCGATTATTGGTTTTGACCGAGACAAAACGGTTGGTGGAGTTTGTTGACGTGATGACGACATGTATAGATCAATAATAGTTGGAGCAATACAGTCTTTAATACTGTCTTCAGCCATTTCAGTTCGACGAGTTAATTGCGTCATACTATTATTTTCTAATTCTAAACCATGTAATTTATAATTGACGTATGTTGGCAGTCGTTGATCGAGTCCAGAGTTTGTCTAAAAAAAGAGAATGTGTGGTTATAAGTGCATCCTGTAAACTCACCTTCTGTTGTTTAGAACGAAAGAACAAAAGAACGAACGGAACGAGAAGTACATAGTGACGGTGCGTATTTTGTTTTGGTTTATGTGGCAAATATGATAGTATATAAGATAGAGTATAGTTTCTGTCTATCGTTATATTTTTTATTTTACATACTTCAGTACACTCCGTCTAACAAATAAATCGAATTAACAATGTCAACATCGCAACAACAACAACGCGTCATTCTTGTAACAACCAGAAATTCTTGTATTTTACGGTTTATTGGAATCTTTGATTGTAGATCAATTTGATATATGAGTATGTGGATTGAAAGTGTTTCGCTCTGTCTCCTTTGAAACAAGGTCAAATTGCGTCTTGATCGCTTAATAAAAAGTATGGAAGTTAGTTGTGTACGTATGTATGTATGACTGAAACCGTTGTATTAGAAGGTGAGGAATCAAATCTATTGGTTCATGTCCAAAATGAGAAATTGTTACTGTAATGTTTTTCTCTTTTCTAACTCCAAGATCATACTGCACACGCAATGGACAACAGAGCTGAAATCGAACAGTGTACGCAGATAAAAAGGGAGAAAATTGAATTATCTCATATAGGTCATAAGCTATACTTATGCCACAGTTTATATTTAATGTGTTCAACTCCATTTTTAAAGAGATCAATCAACTCTAAACCGTTACGACACATAACAGACTACTAACAGAGGTCCATACGCATGATAGAAATCAAGACTAAAACATGGTTTAGTAGAAGTTTTTACTTCAGAGTCAGCGGAAGATGCTATAGTTATTCATTATTTGTCTGTGCACATTGTTCGATCCCAGCTCTGTTCGCCATTGTGTGTGCAGTATGATCTTGAAGTGAGAAAAAAGAAAAATATGACATACGTATCACAGTCAAAAATATCCATTGTATCTGATGGTTGGAAAAGTGTTGTACAGTTTGGCAATGGGTAGTGAGAGACAAGATGGTATGTTTTCTCTAGTGAAGTGTGACAGTGAAAAAAATTATCTCATCATCTTATAATACATCATTACCATCATGATACCGTAGTTTACACGTACAACTGACTTATTAATATTCTTTCAGGAAAAGCGCGTATCATCATCATAATATAGCTTACACATTGATCCCAAAGCGAGGTGCTCCATCAGTTATCATGTGCAGGACTGCTATAAGCAGTCAAGTATGACATAGACTTACTGATCGAGAAAATATGTTATCCAAAAGAGTAAAAAGATGTAGACAGTAATTGTTCAGATTTATTTTAGTAATCTCGTACTGAATTGGAAGCAAACGCGTTAGCACTATCATTCATTAGTTGTTCGGAACAAACTTATTAGAATGTTCATAAAATATAGACACTTTGTTTGAGTATGTTATTTGTTTTCACCTTATTTATTTTTCGATACTTTCTGAGATATTCAACATATGAATGTATTCTCATATGTTTCAACTACTTCAAATTTTATTGAATATGAACAAAGACAATAATGCAAAATGATGTTTTTTCTTGTCTGAGAATTATTCTTGTTTTTTTGATAAGTGACTAAGATCCTTTGGACATGCACAACTTTGTGGCTTTTGTTGTCCATCTTGATAAAACTGCCCATTTTCTAATTCATTGGCAGAAGCATTGACTGGGAAGACGATGGAATCTGCACCAAGTTCAGCTGATCGTGCTTCAGGTGCATGATTACTTAAGTCAGTTTTGCATAAACCAGGAGTTACAGATAAGACTAGTACATTTTTGGCACCAGACCATTCGCGTGCTTCAACCCGTGTAAGAGCAATAAGCGCGGCTTTGGATGTACCATAGATCAGAAAAGGTAACTTGGAATTGTATCCCAGTTCTTCGAGACGATTCGATCCAATCGCTGAGATAAAATCTCCAACAAGTGCATCGAGCTGTTCTTTGGTCAATGTCGATGATTTGTATTTCTTTTGGAGATCGTTGGACATTTCATGTAATGCCCAAGCGCCGACTTCGCTTGCAACATTCACGATACGTCCATTTTCCTTGATAAGTGGAGACAAATGTTCATTAAGCGTTCTAATACCATAGTAATTAGTAGCAAAAACACTTCGAGCAGCATCAACAGTATTTTCATGTATGAAAATCCCAGCATTATTGATGAGAGTATCTAGTTTGCCACCATACTTTTGTTTGATTTCATTCGTTGCTTGTGCAATACTACTGGGTGATGATGTGTCTAATTGAAGGAGATGTACATTCGCTGGTGAACCCAACTGCTTAATTGCATCTTGACCACGTTTCAAATCACGACTACCGAGCAGAATAAGATCATTCTTGGAAGATGATGGTTCTTTGATGAGCTTTTTGACAACCTCAAAGCCAAGACCTTTATTGGCTCCAGTTACAAGAATGACGCGTTGTTGTTGTTGCGATGTTGACATTGTTAATTCGATTTATTTGTTAGACGGAGTATACTGAAGTATGTAAAATAAAAAATATAACGATAGACAGAAACTACACTCTACCTTATATACTATCATATTTGCCACATAAACCAAAACAAAATACGCACGGTCACTATGTACTTCTCGTTCCGTACGTTCTTTTGTTCTTTCGTTCTTTCGTTCTTTCGTTCTTTCGTTCTTTCAGTACGGTAAAGTTTAACGTACGTCATCGAATGCAAGGGCAATTTTGTTTCAATTGTACGTGCACATGTAACACTCGGAACTACTTACATTATGGATTAAAAAAATAATCCACGATTCACTATTATCCGAAGATGGCAAACGTAGAAACAACTTGTGAGGTTGATGAACAAGACAGAAAAAAGAAGAGAAGAGGGGGAAAAATTGAATAGATGCAAGCAAGTGCAGAAGGAAAAGAGGAAAGGAAAAGAAACGAGAAAGTTTAGGAAGAGAAAGGAAAGAGTGTCAGAGAAAGATTCTTCATGCTTTTTTCTTCATATATAGTCATTCTTTTTCAATAAACGCAATCCATTGTAAGAGAAGCAATTGATGCTTGTTGGTATAAACTATTTATTATTAAAGAGAAGTATATAAATAAACTATATCATGCTATCGAAACGCAGAGCGCTCATTATAAGCATAGTAAAAATGATAAATTTGAATGTTGAAGGAGAAGGAAG